GAGATAATAGAAGAATAGATTAGATAATAGAAGATTACTCTCTAAATCTGAATCAGTGAATAGTCACTGATTCAGATTTAGAGAGTAGATTAATCAATCATTCAATGTATCCAATACATTTGCAACTTACACGGGACTGGGTGGACGATGATTCCCGGGGCTTTCCAGAAGTAGGGTATCGTGTTCGGGATATCGGGTGGTCGGGACCACTATAGGCTGGCTAGTGGTACACGAATGGGGTACTTTGCCGACATCGCGTATCAGCAGGCTCATCCTCTTGTTGGTCTTCAATATCTGAACAGCCTCATCGTGCGTCGCCTCTTCGAAGCTCTGCCCATTCACTTCGATGATTTGATCGCCCACCTGTGATCATTCGCGAGCGTCTCATATAGCTGCTCGAGTCGCGAATGAGATAATCAAAGGTCGTAAACAGAATGGAACAATTTCGCGATAAAAATAATATTTATTACAAAGTCATTAAGAAAGGAATATGCTGCATAAATAAATAAATTAAATAATAAGCGTATTAATGGAGTCAGTTACACTCAACAAAGTACACTTTCACTAGAAAGTGCGCTTGCTGAATTGATCGCGTTTGTTTCTCGGAGATCTATCGCGGGTCGCGAAAGATCCAGATCTAGTAGAAAAGCGTGCATGATTCTTACAAGAAGCCCGGCGCGATCGGCAACGCTGTCTTTGTCGACGCCCGTTACGTAGATTCCGAGGCCGTATTCGAGGCCGCCACGGATCATCAAGCCTAGAGATTGGCCGGGTTCGATGCACAGCTCGACCTTCCGCGTCCTCGGTCCGTAGCGGGAATCACGGGGCGGATGAGGGGGCGGCGGGGACGCCGGACGACCTTGGCGGTCCATCCAGCTGCAGGACTGCGGACGACCCGACGACGACCATACGGGATGACCGCCCCGGCAGCGGGGGTCCAAGGCGGGTCCTCGCACCGTCATGCTCAGGGTCCTGCAGGACTTCAACATCTGTCGGAACGTGAAGAACGTTGTACAATATCACGGCACGCGGATCAAGAGATTCGAAAGGGACAAGGGATGCAATTTTTTTTATAAGGGATGGAAAATCTGTACGAATTCTTTGAGCAATCTCGGGGCACGGATTTTACGCGGCGGGAATTTAATCGATATCTTCCATCGTTATTTATAATTTTCTAGAATACTTTGATAATAAAGACAAGAAATATTGACCTTCCGTCTGTATACGTGGGTCTACGGCGTCCGAGCCAAAATAATATCTGCTTGTAACTGCCAAACTTGCAAGCCTGCCAGAAAATATGAAATAAATAATTTTGATATAAACAAATGTTTGTCAAAATAACTATAAATACGTCAGCTATAATGTAGACAGATGTTTTGTGAGTTTTTTTAAACTTTAAAGTAAAAGGAAAAATAGCGTCAAATGTGACAGATCCATGTATACACTCTGAAGATACAAAAAAAGCATACAGAATTGGAAGATTAATAATATTCCTCAAATAATATTTAAAAATAGACACTTAAAATTTGGGATGTTGGTGCAGTTTTTTTTCTACATAAATGCACGTATTAAATTTGTGTGGGATGTTGTTTTAACATTTTTTTTTACCGAGAAAATTCATTTCTAGTTTAACATTAATATTCACGCAGTTATAATTTTATATTTAAAGCTTTAAATGCATCCGTATAATTTTCACTTTTACATGACATTTTTATATACAGCAATTAATCAAACATTGCGTAATAAAAATTTGTCGGCTATTTGAGAGAAATATTACGAAAAATTTTATGAGGAACAGAAAAAGTACACAATTTTTCACTGATTTGTCCTAGTGTATTCAGATATGTCATGCATCTTTTGAAATACAGAAATATAAAAAGTAAACACATGCGTGCGTAAATACAAATTAATTTTTATAAAAATAAAATTATTTCTAACATCGGGAAGAAATTAAGAAAATAATAAAAGAAAGTTTGATGCTTTCAAATCACTTTATTATGAAAATACGCGGCAGGGGAGTAGTTAATGAAGAATAGCACGGCGTCCAAAGTGAGCTGTTTATAGGTAAAATAGATGAAGTTAACGAAGAGAAGCCAACAGAGAGACGTGTTTCGCGGCGATGTGACGCTACTCGGCAGCCAGCAGGATATCGATCCTGCCACTGGCAGAGCCCGTGACGTCACATCCTATTCTATCCTTGACCCAGCCCGGATCGCGACGTTCCCTAGGAACCCGCGGTTCCTCTCGTAAGACGCGGGTCTCTTGCGGCACCCCTCTCGCAACGCGACGGACGAGCGCGAGCGGCATACGGGAAATGACGATTTTCCCCCTTTCACTCGTAACGCCGGAAAATCGTTAGAATAAGGAAACGTATAAAAATGCCATCTCATTTCTGCGAGACGATGGCGGAATCGCATTTGGCAAATGCGTTCGCCGTGACCCGATCCCGGAGATGCGCCTTTCGGGACGTATCGTAAACCGTGTGTTTCTCTCCGTTTCTCCATCCGAACTTTTTGAATTGCACCGCGCAATTGGACGTACTGTTTTACATGCGAAAGACATTCGCTAATAGAATTCCCGAAATTCCCCTCGAGTAACTGCAGGCTTTTCTCATTAACTTTTCTAAACTCTGCTTTCTCGCCGCTTTCTGCGATTAATAGTTTAAGTACGAATATTTTTGTATAAAGATATGCTGGGTTATTTGTTCTTTTTTTCACTGATTTATCGATGAATTATGAAAATATATATTGTTTCTTAGATTTTCATTAATTTTTCTCGACTAACATATGAACATTTTAATTTATGTATTCATAATTCATTTTGACATCTTAATCCCTTCTTTCATTGTTTGTCACTAATTTCTATTTATATTAACAATAATTAAGAAATAATGCATTCATCGATCATATAATAATAATTAGATATATAATAATAATTTCAAGAATGCAAAGTCATTATAAAAGCTCTTCATTCTATTTTTATTTGTCTTTCGCCAATGCTTTGTTAACGCTAAGTCCTCTCCACTACTTCTCAATCTGTTCCGCCATGTAGGAATATCATTCTTCAAACTTCCCTCTAACAGCGTTCGATATTGCCGATCAATCTTATTTATATCTATCTACATATCTTGGAAACTTTATATCCGTCTAACTCACGACGTTTTATGGCGTCGTGTCGCATCGCATACGAAGGAAATTAATATCAGATTAGGTCTGTCGAGAAGACGAAAAGCTCGGGATAGCTCGGGGACCAGATCGCTTCCGTGATCAGTGTTCATTTCCACTCGGTCGATTAAATAAATAATTCATAGGATGAAACATCGAAGCCGTTTGGCCGACGCGAGCTAGTTCAGGACGAACACGAGACTATCGTTATCGCGTTTGAGATCTGTCGTCGCTATTTCCCGCGCCACCGCGTCATCCGCAAGAAGCTCGCGTGCCGTCATATTTTCGGCCGGAAGTGATTATCTATGAGCGATCCGCGAGTTACGATGCCATCCGGCGGATATCGCTCTGATCGCTTTTGCCGACGAAATCGTTTTCTGGGTCAGCCGCAGGATCGACCCCCTCATCGCGTGTCTTCTCGCTATCGATGGTAAATTGTAAGAGATATAGCTTGTGACATTCTAGAGAGTCACTTTTACAGACAGATATCGCAAAAGTTTGTTTTTCTTTTCTCTAACTGGAGAAATCAATTATTGCTAAACAGAAGTCGCATTTGGAAACTTCAAAAGAAAATGGACTTAGAATTCTGTATCAATTTTAAAATGTTATGTTAAGATAGATAACTTATTGGTTAACAATAATACCTCGTGACTATAAAAAGATTTTCAATAAAATCTTATAATAAAAATGTATAACAATGTATATATAAGAAATATATAATTAATATAAAAATTTATAATTAAAATCTAAATTCTATAATGAACTAAAAAGATATAATATTATATATCTTAAATTTTATATTAGAAGAATCTTGGCAAAGGAAACTCTTATGAATTCTTGGAAATTCTTTTACAAAATTATTATATACTATATATAATCATTTTAAGAAAGATTTTCCAAAAATTTGTAGAATTTTCTTGCCAAGATTCTTCCTATATGAAACTTGGACATTTAAATTGTAAAATATACATAACGTTCGATAGACATATTTATATAATTATAATTACTTATACATTAGATTCGTACACACATGAATTAATTAAAATTAATCAACAAATATAATAAGGCTCTGAACAGAAAAACAAGGTAAATAATGGGCTATGAGAGCCAACGCAGGATCTAATATGCGAAAATTAAAATTAATCCAAATTTCGAGTGAAACTAGCGCGTTAATAATAATAAAAGTCGTAAACTTTCTCTTTGTGAAATAATCAGTAGCCAGAGCATATATCACGAGTTATGACCGTGTATAACGAAGCATATAACGAACTTCTGCATAATTAAGGATTCACCAAAGAGACTTTTTCATTCTACAGCGTGTGAACGGCTGCGTTCAGTTATTGGTCGCACTTTTCGCTTTCGCGGCATCTGCGGAAGCCTTGTGTATTATGTAAAGAGAATAAATGACAGGAGGTTCGCCGGAGGGCGCCGGGACGCTTGGCGCCGCCACGTCGCTCTCGCCCTCTTCCTCATCGACATCGTCGTCCCCGCCGTCGTTCGGAAAATAGTGGTGAGGGGAGTGGAAAAGAAGCGGCGGAACCTCTCGCTCGAATGTATTGTTTGCGTAGCGCGCGCTTCTTCCGAGCACCTCGTTGACGAGCTGTTACGCGATAACGAGTCCCGCCGCCACCGTTATCCTCTACGGCCCCTTATGTCAGCGAGCAATTTATTTCTATAATATTTACGGCGATCGATGGCAGACAGAATCAAATCTCGCCCAAAATTCCGCACAATACAATATCGGAAGGGATCTTGAAACAATCGCCCTTTCGGCGAGTTCAATATATCTCACGTCCCGGTGGTATCTAACAAGTCTTTTTTTATTAATGATGATTTTTCCATTAAGTAAAGCTATTTATTTATTCCGTGGAGCCCGTTATTACGCGGGACGTTCGACTTCGAGATTAATATTTGCCTGAAATTATATTGATATTAGTATTTACTTATATCTTTTAATTAAAAACCGGGCTGATTGCGTGTGACGAATTGAATTCAATATCATACGTGCCGCAAATATGGGAAAATGCCATCTTATATGTGAACGGTTTCGCGAGGGATGTAGATCATTTTCACATGTGTCACGCGGATATTAGTTTTCTTATATTTAACAGTCGCGAGAGCGTGAGATACTTCGCTGAATAAAAGATGACACCGACGTCCCCTAGAAGATTCATCGAATTTCGCGAGATTGGCATGATCAAAGTTGAATCGAAAATGAGATATATTGGCGAAAATGTGACATTGACAGAATGAAAGAAACATTCCATTAGAGAGTATTATTCCAGTTAATCGCGCTATTTTATCGTCGAAACACCGAAATGCGATTAAGGATCTTGAAATCTTCGCGCGACAGGCGCTTGAAATTTATTTTAAGAATAATATATGCAAATTTCGAATAGTAATTAATGAAGAGTAACGGAGAGAATCTTTCATGAAAAATATCGTAAAACGAATTTACTAGATCGAGGTAGTTTATACTCCAGTAAAAGTATAAAATTTGCGTCAATTTTTTTTTTAAATTGACATATTTATTGTTATTATTATTATTATATCATATTAATATTTTTTTTTATATTGTAGTATTATTATTATAAACAATGAAAAAGAACTGCGAAAATTTAGAGAAATAGCATGTACGTAGTGAGAGAACATAAGAGGGGAAAAGAACGAGAAAGAGGGAAAAATTAAGAAAATTAAATTAGCGGAATATTTATTAAATATTTTAAAATCGCTGCACACATAAAATTTATATCACGACTGAGGGTATATACAGTCGATCGATAGGACTCAGTAAGAAGGCACGTATCGTGGAAGATGCGAGGAAGGGTAATCAGGATAGATATAGATCGCTACAACTCATTCGCTCACCCTCCCGTGACAGCAATTTTTCCGGAATATCATCGGCCTAAGTCTCTAGAACTCGACCTATATCCTTGCTTTCGTTCTACGATCGATTCGCGCGATTCCTTAGCGTTTCTTCACGTCCGTCGCGTATATGGAAAATCGTGAGAGCGCCGCGCGAGCAAATAAAATTATACTTACTTGAAAGCGCAAACGCGCAATCTTCACGGTTAAATAAAAATATGAATAATAAAATATGTAAATAAAGTAAGCGAAGTAGAAATACTCTCTCTCTCTCTCTCTCTTTCTCTCTCATGCAATTTTTTATCTCTAGAACTTTTTATGCAATAGTGAAATATTATAGAGATTTTTCTGCCAGAATTCCGATATTCAATAAATTTCTGAAAATTTTCGACAACCGTAACGTAATTTGATTTAATAAATAAAAATTAAACAAATAATACATAAATATGAAATTGATGAACTTTGAGTTGATGGATGTTAAAAATCGAGAGGACGCGGATCTTTGACGGTCGATAGCGAGTACGAACGTGCAGCTATCAAGTTGGCAGGCTGCGTGAAGAATCGAAGAGAACCGTTATACGAGGTGAAGTCGTCCGAGGAATACCCGCGAGTAATCTCTCTGGTGCAAATAGTTCCGATTGTCTTCCGTATATAGACTATAAATATACATATAGCTACATATTCCCGATGTTCTCGAAAGGTTCAAAACAAAAAGCTGCCGAGAATGAGTACTAGTCGGGTCAGGCAAAGAGACGTGAGGCTCGTTGAAGATCACACGAAAGAGTCTTGAAGAGTTGAATTGAGTGTCATTAAAAATTTTCAGAGATCGCCAATTTTTATTCTGCGAACTGAAATGGGTTTTCGATCAACTTTCAATTTCAGCCTCAAATTGATTCTCGCGTTTCTTCGATATTCTATTATGGGTAGTACAAAACCGCGCGTTGCGGCCTGTCGATTTAGAAATTTATATTTCAAAATTGACTCTCACGTTTTCATTAACGGAGCTAATTTAAGCCGAAAATTTCCGCGATTTTATCGCGTTAAAGTTCAACCGTAAAGTTCATTCCCGCGGTTTAAAATTGTTCAATTTTGGATTCGCAGACTTGAAACGACGACGTATTCGATATATTCGAGCTGTTTTAATCCTCTTGCTTGGCGTCATCTTACGCCGGCACTTGAGAGAGAAATAGAATGACAGGGATAGAGAGACGCTTAATTTTACATGCGCGAATATATCCGCTTAGTGTTTGCTACTCCAAACCAAACGAACGTCAAGCGTATCAACCGAGCAATGATATTCCCTTGAATTGTTTACCCTGCGGATCAAAGGGCACCTTTCGGCGGTGCTTCAGCGTGATGGCGTATAACGTGCGCTACGCGTGATTTATGTGGAAATATAAAAGATCGTAAATATTTGGCAAGAACTACGGTGTATCTTTAGCTCACTTTAAACAATCTATAATTCGTACAAAAGACAGAGAGAGAAAAAGAGAGAGAAATCAAGATAAAATTATGTAGAAAAACATTTAAAGATAAAATACATATATACATAAAAAATATGTTAAAATATATTGAAATACATGGCATGGAAAAGATTATAAATGGAATTCTATTCTGAAATAGCTCGTCTAAACTGAACTTTATAAAAGAATCATGTCATTGAACGTTTATTTTATAAGAGCATTCCATAAAACAAACTTTCGGAATGCATTTTATATACATTAACCCTTACTTGCCACACTTCTGTAGAATCACGTACTTGCCACACTGGGATGGAATCTACCCCAGCGACAAAAATTGTTATAACAAATAAGCTATTCAATATTTTAATTTGCCAAATTTTTTAGAACTTCTTAAGAGCTTACTTTTAAAAGTTATATAGGTTGTATAGCCAAAAATTAAAATCATGTATGATAAAAAAATTAAAATATACTAACGGTCCCGGCGTAATACCACTGGCTTGAGGGGATAGTGGCATGCTCGAATTATTGACAGATGTTGCTATGGACCCGCTCCCCGTAGGTTTAAGTACTTAAAATTAAGGGAATGGTCGTGGGGTTGATTTGCACCTCAGTGTGGCAAGTAAGGGTTTTACTAATAAAGACAGTTTATTAGTAAAACCTCATTAAAATTTCTTGACATCTTTCTTCCCTAATTAACGGTGATTATAAGAGTTTATAAGGGATTATAGGAGTTACAAAAGTGAATAAACCTTGGCAAAATGACACGGGCGGTGAAAGGGTTGAGAAGCGCTGATAAATGGAAACTCGCTAATAGCGAAAGGGATGAGAATAGGCAAGATAACAGCTGATTTCGAGCACTGTCCGTCTTCCGGCTATTTGCGCACAGATTTAGTGATGTTTCACGTTTTACCCTACTTTCTTTAATCCCGTTGAAAGTCGGGGCTAGCGCGTCGAGGATTGACGAAACCGTTCCTAAGGTCAGTCGTAAATATCAAATGCGTTCGCGCGATTACTCGGTGGAGACTCGGGGATTTGGAGAAAACTGTTAACTGAGATGATTCTTTAATTGCTTGTTTTTGCTCTCGTTCTCACCTCCGGCAAAGAGTATCGTTTTAACTTTTGAAATATATAATTCGCAGTTTGATCTCCGAATTAAAAATTCCACTTCAAACACAATGAGGTTCTATTAAATGTTATTGTTGATTGGAAATTGTAAACCTGAATTTTAAGATGTTTAAAAACTTAAATTGCCGGTTGCTTATCGAACCATAAAGTTTATAAATGATAAATTTGTAATCAATTTTTTCTTAACAGATATTCTGTAACATTATCACATTTGTCGTAAATCTTAGGCTTGAACGCGAAGTAATCTCGTTTCGTGCATCATAATTAAATTATATAATCTTGTTCCTCTGGCAAAATAAAATAAATATATTAACTGGATTAAGATTAGCTGAAAATAGAGATTTATTCCACGCATTTTAAAGAAAGATCTTTAACTATGAGGCTTAATTTTCCGAGATATTTTAACAAGATATGTAACACACATATATCGGAATAAAATTTATTCTGCAAATGCGAGAACGCATATTGCAAATTTTGGACTAAAATTGATAGAAGAAAAGTCGATAAAAGAAGCAACGAAATACGTCGTGATTTCTCACGTCTTTAAAAAGTAACGACGCTACCTTCTCGTATCTTCGGGCTAACGAGATCGGGCCTTTAGGGGTGCGTTCAGAAATTCAACTCGTTGGGTAGAGTAAGGTTATTGGGGGTAACACCAATAACTCATCTGGGGTAGTATCGAGTTGAACGACTTTCCGACCGTATTGAGTGAAGTAATAAAAATGGCGACGCAGAGGGTCCGACAAAACCGTATACTGATTTCTGCAGCAATAGCTAGTCAAAAGCTATTTGAAATATTGATGAGAACTATAAATGAAATAGAAAACGAAAGTGAAGGTGATGATAATTTTGAGGAAGAATTTTTAATTGAAAGTATGCGAGGAATCCGAGGAAAACAGCAAAAACCTGTGCGTATAGAAAGTTATGTTGAAAACGTAATTTCTCGTTACACTTCTCGACAATTTCGGCATCATTTTCGGATGCTTCCTGAAGTTTTCGAAATATTGGAAAATCGATTAGGACAATTACCGTGTCGATCAATTATTAACATTATATCATCTTGAATGACGAATTCACCATTTTCTAAGCAATAAGGGACATGACGCCCAGATATTAGATTGTTAATTATAGTGGTCTCGGTCGTCTCGGTCTGATCCATTTTCTTTGCTTCGTTATTAGCGCCAAAATAGTAGGAGTTACTCTGTTAACCCCTGAAAATTTAGAGGTTGAAGAGACGACCCCGAGGTGTATTCAAACAACTCTACTCAGCATTTCCGAACGCAACTAGCGAGTTCATTTTATCTTACCCGGGTTATTTTCCGAACGGCGTTGGGTTAACTTCTTTACCCAGAGTTGGATTTCTGAACGCACCCTAGAAGAGTATAGGCGCTAATGGAACCGCCAGAATTAGAAGATATCGTGGTCGACGTCGAGAAGCTGAGCGGCGAGAGGTTCGAGGAAGTAAGTTAGAAAAGTTGGACTTACTTTGAGGGCCTCCTCGTGGGTTACCGCGCGAAAGGGTGTGCCGTTCACCTCCAGGATGGTGTCTCCTGGCCTGAGTCCAGCCCGTTCGGCCACCGAACCCTCCTCCACCCTCGAGATGTAGACGCCCACCCCTGAAAACAGTTCGCAGACTTTCCATCAGCCTGGTAAGCTGCCTCTACCGCAGCACCACGATCGGTGCCAGCCAAAACCTTCCGCCCATGACGCGATAAGCTGGCCGAACGAATTTCACGAAGCAATCCTCGTCACCCCATCCCCCTCCTCTCGCGAGATGATTCAGTTAATAGAAATTTTATCTTTAATGAAAAAAGTAGGTTCCCATAACACATAAATAATATTTTTTGACAACGCAGATTCTTTAATATTAGGAAATTATTTCTATAAAAATCAGTAATAAAATCTTTTGTTATACTAAATACATATGGTATTTTTACTGATTATTAAATAAGTAAATTAATGTTGTACGAAATGACGAAAAGTGATATAAAATATCTTGGAATGTATGAGTGATATTTTAGCGACTGAATTGTCATGGGAAAATATTAATGCGGGGCTTACACACGTTTAACGTAATTTCTCTCAAATCAATCGATATCTTATAAATTGTTTAACATAGAGGATATTTTAATATGTAAAGACGCGCGCGCGAGAGGGACCTGTTGGCTGGCATGTGACAAACAAGTTGAAACTTTTGGCAAACTTCCCCGATATACTTGTTGAACGGGATGTAATAAACGCCATGGGCAGAAATATCGTGAAAATAAGAAAGGAAAATGAAAAACGAAATGTGCGGATGCATTTCAAAGTATGAATATCGGTAGATGTGTGCTTGTGTGTGTATGTGTGTCTCCATGTAACACGATGCACGTGTGTGTAAGTGTATTTGTGACAGAAAAAGAAAGGCACATGCACTGATTTTTCGAAGAATCGAGAGGAAGTGCGATCGCATCGCATGATGTGCTCGCCTATATGCAATTATGAGATATCGATATTGCATATTGTGCGCGTGCGTGTGTACGTGCATGTATTCTGAAAAGTATTTTTCATCTTTCTGGGGAAAAAAACAACGATAATCGATAGCAGTCGATGGAAACTAGCTTTTAAGCCGGACCGCAGATTATTCGTGAATTTTTAAACGCGCGCGAGAACTATGAAACCTGTACGGTTAAATAAAAAAAAAAAAGAGAAAGGAATGTTTTTGTGACGTAAAATAAAAGCGAGATTTTTTATCGAATTGGAGACGTTGATTCTCTTTGTAACATAATCCTCTAAAGTTGTTATTCTATATTTGTACATTTATGACTTTTAATTCCATGCACGATTTGCGCTTTTTTCATGAAAAAAATTTTAATGTGACACTTGAGTAGTATACCTCCGTTTACATATACATATTTATAATAATCTCCTTTATAAGAGGCAATTATATCTAAATAATTAATTATCATAAATAAACAAATTATTTAGATATAAACTGTGATCTAAATAAATCAAGTACAATGATTATAAACATAAAAAAACGTAAAAGAATTTATATGTATGTGATTCAAACTTTTATTAAAATTATAAAATGAAAAATGTAATGTTTTTTCATCTTCCGTGTAAACGTTTAAATTACTTTTTGGAAACTTGTTCGCGACTGAATGATATACTGAAACATCCAGTAGCGTGTGTGTGTTTGTGATTCGTGGCGAAGCAAGAGCAAACGTGATGACACATCGAATAGCGCGCTCAAACTGCGTTTATGCAGTTCATGCGGCGTTGTTTATTGAGTGTTGTGCCGGGAGCAGATTATCGGATCCGAGGTTGACATAATTTCTGAAGCGACACGAAAAAACAAATCGAGACGAAAATAGTCGTCGCGTAATTACTTTCCGTGTCACCGAGTTGACATCAAAGAGATGACACGAAGACAATTAATCGAGAATATTGAACAAATATTTATATTTACTATTGGACTCCAATGTCATTTGCTACCTGTTAATATAGGGTGTTTCATGCGAATAATTAAACTTCCCGCGATCCTTTCCTATATTCTTTTCTTACAGTCATATTTCATTTATCAAATTTTTTAATAATTTTGACAGGAATATAATATTGGCTCAATAAAAATTCGATTGAATAAAAAGTTACGATAATGTTCGACGGCAAACGTCTCTCTTTCTCTCTCTCTCTCGATAATCACGCGCAGAATTGAGATTGAGCTGAAGTGAAGTTTACCTCAACTTAGTGAAAGAATTGGGAAGTTGAATTATATCCGTTTTTCCAATCATAATTAATCACGATCCAATTAACCGTCCGTATTCATTTTTTATTTTGAATTGGGAGCTTGTTTTTTTACACTTAAGGAAGCACGGTAATTAAAACTCGATTAAAATTTTTCGCACGGAATGGAACTTCGACAAAAGCACCTTGTATATACAAGCTTTAATTGTACAGCAATCCAAATTACAGAGAAATATTTATCTCCATTCAATTTAATATTACTGAATTAAATTTATCAATTAAATGCTCGACGCTTTCCATGTCGTCCTGAACATTCCCGCTTTGCGCGAAGCTTTGTGACCGACGGCAGTGTATTATACGAGTAAACTTTCCTTTACTACGCACTCACACGCTCTCTACACGCATATGCAATTGTACAACATTCATGCAACGAGCTGCCAAGTCTAGAGAGAGGAAGCCTTCTGACAGATACTCGGTGGTGCGATGGCGTTATAAACCCTCCTTTCTCTCGTTGAGTTACCTGACTGCGCTTCTGGTATAGCGAAACAGAAAATAAGAATGATACAACGCAAGTTGGCTTATTCTCGATCTCAGCCGGTCAATCGCGAATACGATGGCGAAATCCCCAGGAAGCTCTGCGTCGGATTCAACAAGCTTCCTTTTCGAGACGAGATAATATAACGGTGAGAAAGTTTGACTAGAGACTCGAAATGGAACCCGTGCTATCTTATGGAGCCGCGTTTAACGATAATATCGTTATTAATCGTCACACGAGTCGACATATTAGTAACTATAAATATTTCCAATCATATATGTATATAGAAAATAAAATGGCTAGAAAATAAAAATCATGATGTGTATTTAAACGCGATAATATTATCAAATCTAGCAGCTTTTATGTAAAGTGGCTTTTAAAATTCCGACAGGTTTTGCGCGAAAAATATTAGATATCTCTAAATGGGATTGAAAAATGTCGGCAATGGAAACCCCTTTACGCTTAAGGCATAAAAGCCTGATAGTGTGATGCGAAAGAGAAATTGGTGACACGAGCGAGCGCATTTTTCTCTGACTTCCCTGGGAGTTTCAGCATCGCATGAAACGGATATCAATGGCGCGATCTGCGCGGCGAGGCGAAACGGGTCTCTCGAGGGCCGCCTTTTCGGATTTGGGGTTTCACGCTCGAATTCTCGGCGATGATAAAGCTCGTCAAGCGATGGTATCAGCGCGCTTGTGTGTGCAGCATCGCGTGCGTGATTAAGCGTGAGATTTAACGCTCGCAGTCTCGCCGCGGGAACATCATTATAACGGACGGAGTCGCCGATTCATTGCGCTTGATTTGGCCTTTTTCTACAGGGCAACAATTTTCTAATTACAAAACTTTTCTGTATAAATTCAGAATATTAAAAATATGTATATATTTGTAATCTTATTATACAAGGTTTTATGTTATAATAATTTTGAAGGATTAAATTGTACGAAATATATATAAACATAAATTATTCCTTTAAAAAATTCTGTTTAATTTTGCATTAAAGCGAACTTATTACATGCGAGCCAATTTAATATTTTTAAATCAGCATCTATAAATATTACATCGCAAGACAGTCCGATCTATTTTTGAGACTGCGAGGATTAAGAGGCTGGAGACCGTGAAACCGGATCTTGTCGCTTTTGTCACTTTAACGACTTTAAGGCAGCACTCCCGCGCATTCTTGCCTCGTCACGCGGATCCTCTGTATGAAATTTTTCTCATTTATCAGTTGCGGAATCTTTCTGGAAAACGCATAATCCGAGATCCATGTCTTGAACATATTTCAAAAATAGTAAAATTTTATTGTTAGACAAAATGTCAGGAAGAAGAATATTGAATCAAAAAATAAACCGCTTTTATAAAAATGGCGATTTTGAACTACTACTGACCCCTTTTCGTTTTCTGTAAAAATTTCATAAAAATTAAAAACATTTTGCTGTTTGTAAAAATTAATTCTATTATTTATCATAGCATAAAAAATTAACTGTAATACAATTGTATTACAATTTAAAATAAATTATGCCACATTAAAAAAAATAAATTCTGTACAAAGAGGAGTTAATCGACAAACTAAAGTAATGTTTATTAATTAGCCTTTTAGCTGCTTCAAATAATAATCGTTCGCTATGTATCGGTCTCTAAGAGGCGTCATCAAAATCAGTGCCGAGCATGTAATTTACGCGTCCGATGTAAGACGCTTGCCCGGATATTAGAAGATAAAAATTTGATATCTGTGATAAAAAAGACTTAATGTATAACCATAAAAATAATATAATTATTGATCGTATAATATAAATTCATTGAGCGTATATGTACGCCTTCCATGCATTTAATCGACTTGTACCATGAAAGCATATAGGTATATTTACGCCTTTCGTAAATGAGCAGCTATTTTTTCTAGACATGTATTTACCCTTCGCAACTAAAAATTTAACGCGCGAAGCTTTGATTTTTATTTCTTTTTATGATTGAATTCTCCAGAAAGATTAGGCGAAAAACGACACGGACCCCGGTCGTCGGATTTCCGGCGCAATCGCGCTTCGATGGGTCGATAGCTCGTTATCGCGTCGACCATCGAACGGCAAACCGACCGGAGTTTCACCCTCGCGAAGGGGAGAAAAAAAGTAAGAGAAAAGGGGGAGAGTCTGTGCAAAACGCGCTCGTTCCTTCTCTACCGAAATACCGCGTGCAAACAATCGTCACTGTAGCGGAAAACGATGCTTAACGATCGTGAAAATGATTTTCCCCTGCTCTCGAGTATCGTCCTCGCGACGAGAGAATTCATTTTCCACTGTGGTCATCAAAATCAATTAGAATCCCCACGTATTATAAATACAATGGACATTCATAATTTAATTGTAGAACAGAGAGAAAGAGAAAAGGACAGTAATTATTTTAGGATCAAAATTATTGATTCCTTGAATTTAATCATCAATATATAAATTTAACCGGTTTACATAAAAATTTTAACAGTCTGTGATTTTAGAGAGAAAATATGAAATTAGATAAATCAACTAAAATCACATTCTTTTTATAAATTCGATATATGTAATTAATATAGGTATAATTAAAATATAATCTGTGTGAAAAGTAAGAATATATTTGATAATCTTAAATCGAAATGTCATAGATTTCTTTTTCATATCGTTGAGTTATATGTATTGGAGTACTGAAAAAGTTTAATTTCAATATATTTCATCGCGAGGACAAAATGGATGCGCAAGGACGATTCGCCGATTTATGCTGAAGCACGTACAAGCGCAAGGTGTCGAGACACGATGTGGGTGCCAACCGTGGTGACTTAGGCACGCAGCACGAGAAAAAGACAGTAATCAAAGAAACGAGTTGGCAACGATAAGTGACAAGCGAGTCATCTGGCAAACCAATCGCTTCGTAGAACCTCGATATCGCAAAATAAAGGATCTAAAGATTAGATTATATATTAGTCGAGCTATTGATAGATCAACAGACTGTTGAACGTTGATAAAGTCTATTCTTAGATCGTGCCGACGTATTGCACTTTTTTAATAGTACAGCTTATTGGAATCGTAAAATTTCTACGTGTCTAGAATCTTTGTTTAATGATTTCTACTTATCGAGGAGATACGCGTTTACAGCGTCAGAAATGGTGCCATAAAACTGAGGAAATGATTTGCGATAGTAAAACCAAGGTAATAGTCAAAGTTTATTCAAGGTACTCTAAATATAGATGTTTGTTATCACAGATTATAATTTATCTTTTTAAAAAGAAAAGAAATCTCTAGATAATTTACAGTACCGAATATGACGTCGCAAATTTAGAGAGTTGCAGGCTAATTAAAGACACCAATGTGATATCAGAGTTGGCACCGTGCGGTTTATCCCGCACGGTGCCCGAGAGAGCTGTATCTTCGAGTTTATCATAGCTCGCGTTCTCGCGCGATTCCTCGGTAGAACGAATTTCTACCGAGCTGAAGAAAAATCCCCGAGTGGCGGAAGCCGGTCGAGTTCTTTACAGTTAGACGACCCGAAGGATCTCGCGGCGGCCAGACGACTCGTGGTGCATTCAGCGACGCTGTACGCCACGGCGCGCGGCGCGGCGCACGGACGCTCCAAGGTGAGGCGTAAAAATTCGACTTGAGGAGTGCGGAGAAAACCAAGAAAACTTTGAGTAGAGTTAAAAACCGCTCCTGGGAGAGAAAGTACCTCGTTCTCGAGGCACGAAGTACGGCGACGGGGGTAGCCTGAAGGTACTGCGGATCTCACCTGCGTCCTTGCCACCCTTCACGCAGATGCCAAAGCCATGGTGAGAGTCCGGCGGATCTCTCGTCATGGTGATTGTCCTTACGGTGAGCTCCTGAAGACTGAGCGGCTGCGAAATCGGCGACGTGGGCGGATTCCCGGCGTTCCCGGCCTGCTGTTGCTGTTGCTGCTGCTGCGACTGCTGCGACGACTGCTGCTGTTGCTGTTGTTGTTGCTGCTGCTGCTGTTGCTGCTGCGAGCCACCGGACGTGGTCGGCGTGCCGCGTGCCGCCGTCACGCTCGCCGGGCTCGATGCCGGCGATCTACGCTCGGCTTGACGTCGTTCCGCGACGCTGTTGCCGAACAGCCTGAAGAAGATCGAGAATTAAATTGTCATTTAATCGCGTTTTATATATATGTTATATTAATAATTAAAAACCTCGTAGCAAGAATTTTGCAGGTATTCGTCAGATCTTTATTGGCACTACAAATTTTTAATCGACTATAATAACCATTTCTATCTATACAGATTGACTTAATCTCGGTTCAACTCACTATTCATCCTTCTCTTAATTCTAACAATTAACCGGATTTAAATTTAATTCAAAGTTAATCTACATTGGTAGAAATAGGGAGCCAAAAATCCATGGTACCAAATGTTTCTAGAGAATGAAAAAGATTTGCGAGTTAGAATTGTATACAAAATAAGCCGCAAGCACTACAAAACGAATAACGTCTCAAAGAAAAGGTGTGTCGTGTCGAGTACCTACAATCTCTGAAAGTGATTTGTGTAACCGATTTTGATACACATCGGACGCGTACGGTCACGGAAGGGCACCTTTCGTCATTGATGTCGTCGTACCTAAGCACTTGTTCCGGGGAGATGGCACTGGTACCGCCGGTGGTTCCGCGACCCCGGTGCGATCTGTAGGGGGTCGCGTGCGAGGAGTGATGATGGGGCGCGCTGGGCGGCCTCTCGACGATGGTGTAGCTGGTGCCGGGCGGGCTGTAGTAGCCGCGGTGCTGGCCGCCATGATGCCGACTCGTGGTGATGGGCTCGAGGTCTTCGGCCTCATAGTAGCCGCCGGTGCCGCTACGCACGTGGTGAAAACCGTCGGCACCGCGCAGGAAGGGCGTCCGGCTGCTACCGCCGCCCCACTGCAGTTCCTGCAGCTCGGAACCGTAGTCCTCCGTGCTGCTGGCCATGCCTCGGCTGGCAATCAGCTCCTCCTTGGTCACACCTGCCGGACAACAAGCGAGCACGCGATTGCGGAATCGATCACCATGGCGAAAGATACGCGGACGAGTCGCCGGAAAGTTCGATTTGTTTGAAGTAGTAGCAGACGAACCGCACGCGTTGCGTTTCAATATAATAGGAAAATTTTAATTTGGGAAGTTTTAATTGAGAAAGAAAGTGAGAGAGAGATTGCAAATTATATCTGGTTTGATTAAAGCTTAATTTAATTCATTTTTTAATTTAATAAGTTTGTTTGGAATAGAATTTAACTTTGTTTATAAAAATATTTCGCGTAACATTTGAAATTAAATTCTAAGAATTGTCTTTTTTCTTTTTGAACATTTTTATATTTATGATAATTTTTATAATTAATGATAACTCAATAGGATTCAATTTTGTATAATTTTTTAAATTAAAATCTAAGAATTTCCTTTTTTTCCTCTGTGTGATTTTATATTTTAATAATTGATAACATGAAGTTCATAATAACAAAAGTTTTTAATGTAACCTGCTAATGGACCACATGTACAGTTGATAATAAAAAAGTTCCAGGGAAAATTAGTCATACCGAAACTTTCGGATATAAAAATTTTAGGGTAGGCAGCTTTGTCGAAGAATACTTAATGATTTTTTTATGTCCCTCCATCAGAAGAAAAACCTTTGCGCTTTTACACATTAATCAATACTAATATATAAAATTTTTACGGGTAAGTGTGTGTGTGGTGTGTGCTTGAACATTATTAACTTAAAAACTATTGGACCGATTTTGAAAAAAATATCAACATGTTGCTTGAAATTTTAGGAGTGCTATAGGGCAATTTAATTTGGCGGTTCTTTTTTAAAAAAGTGATATTTTTCAATTTATAGCATTTTTGTGGATTGGTGTGTATGTATATTTGCTTAACTACTCATTCGTTAGTGTACTAAATTTTAAAGTGGTATATATGAAAAAGGGGTAGAACTTTCCGAGGAGTGCCATGATGTGTATAGTTTTTCGTTTCCAATTTTTAGAAAACGATTTTTCTAATTTTTCTAATGTTTCGCGAAATAATTGACCGAAACTTAAAGAATTATATATGAAACAGAGGTAGAATTTTCCGGGGAGTGCTATAAAGTGTATAATTTTTTGTTACCGATTTTTTGAAAGCCGGAATAATTTAATTTTACATTAATCTACCGATTTATTTAATTGCCACGATGTGTATTATTTTTTGATAACAATTTATTTTTTTTATGTAGGATAAGTTGCTGGTTTCACATATTATATGTCAACAGTCACTTCAGTTCGTGGCTGTCGCGAGCGATTATATTTTTACAGTATATTCGCATATAGAAAAGTTATTGCAGTTTTCTTTGGTCAAAGACGAGAGAGAGAAAGAGAGAGAGAGAGAGAGAGAGAGAGAGAGAGAGAGAGAGAGA